CGGCAGTTGCGCTAAACCAACTTACACTTAAAATGGGTCTTTTTAAGCTGGATAAATTTCAGTTCACTTTATTTGGTTTGTTCTGCCTAACTTAATAATCTATTAACTTGCTTACGTTGCTTATGCTTATGGTGGCTTTCTTCGTCAACTTTCTTGCGTTTGTAGCATTTTTTGGGCAACTTGTGTAACATGTTGTACTTATCGCGGATTCGTTGCTAACCAACGTACTTCATGTGCTAATTAAGCGAAGATTTATGTCAGCACAGACGTATGCTTCAACAGACATATTTTATTTGTTATCGTTATTTCAAGTGCTTGTATGTTGCTTGACATCCCCGGCGTGGCTGCGCTTGATGTGCATGTTGGCAAGGTGCCTACCTGTCTATCACGCACTATATCGTCTATACTCCCTCCAGAAGACAATTGGTCGTTGCTGGAGGGGACCGGGTGCACGGTCTTTGTGGCCGTGCTAGACTCGAAGTGTGGATCTATGCACTCAATGTGGAACGTACTACAGTCCAGCCACCGTCTTGTGTGCGATTGATTCCCCAAATACAGCGTGCTTGTGTTTGCCTGTAAAGGAGTGTGGGCCGACTCCGTTGATGAAACGTGGCTCACATCCACATGCCTCCCGGTCTTATTCCTTCGGATTTACATTGGATATGGGGTGTGTGGTTGGAGCTGTGGGTAGTGCAGTGCAAGCCACCCATGGTCCCTCTGTAGGCGCAGGCGTCCTGTGGCTGGCCACAGTGACAGGCAAATCCGAAACCGGATGCCGACAACCATGATTGTTTAAAGAAACCATCAAATAGGCTGTGTCACGCAACATGGTTAAATTTTCGCCAGAAGTTTTGCTCTCCTGGGATGCATTGACCTGCAAATTTCTTTTGAACTTTATTTATTCGCTTTGCATCGCCTTGACATTATTCAGCGCGATTTATTTCGTTAGCCTACCTACGCTGTGCAATCCTTACCTTTAGGTAAGCAAAATTTATTGCATTCAGCAAACCGTTTTCATATTTCTTCACATTTCTGGTAAAAATCAACGGACTATACAGCAATATGATTGATTGTTAAAAGGAAGACATATACTGATTAGAAATTGATCAAGTGTAGTAGTTTGCAAATGATGCTTTGACTATTTTCATAGCTAACATGCAAAGGCATGGAATGAATGAGATCTGTAAATGATAAAAATTGGTCAATGTTACATGGTACTAGCTTAGTAAAGAGCGAATTACGTGAGCTAACCCTCGAAAGCGTTCAAATTTGAAAATTTATTGAATTTTAAGTTGCTACGGAAATTGGTGTTATCCCAATGTTTGTATGCCAATTTCGAAAGAAATTGCCAAAGGATTTACACCTCTTCTCTAAACGTTCAGATAAATGTGGTCGCGAAAGAGCAACAACAGCTCAAGGGGATTTATTTCTGCTTACGGAATGTAGAAAAAATTGCAAAGCATCTAACGAACAGCTACAAGGGATGGTAGAGTAGTATGGTGCATTGAATTGCAGAAATGTAAGAAGATCACTTTTGGATTCTGAACTTCGAGCTTGCAAACTTCTGAGGAAGCCAAAGTTGACCAAACAAATGAAAGAATAGCGACAGGAATGGGACAGACAGCTTGAAAAATGATCAAAGTAGACTGAGAGCGGGTAAGAAGCAGAAGCTTTATCTTTATAAAGATTTTCAAGTAGAATTGTGTCTACTTTGCTTGGGTATTTCCAACAACTTTGCTATGTTTCTTTATATGTTTTCAGCGATGAGTTTAGTATCCGGTGCTCTGATCAGCAATCTCTATATGTCCGGGATTACATGGAGAACAGATGAGGAAAGACTGTAAAGTTCAACTAGTCAAGCAACATACTCAGTTCACGGTATAGAGCGTTTTGAGCGTTACGGAACTGGTCGGCTCTACATCGTTCATGGTAACATGAAACAGCATCAGTACAAAAGACTACTAGAGCACTAACTAACATCTCAGCTGTGTGAATGGGAAAAGAAAAAAGGATTTACAGGGACAAGAGACTTCAATTTCATGCATGACGGTGCTCTATGTCAAAAGGGGCGTGAAGTAACCAGTTTTCTTATGGGTAGTTGTATTGCGCTGTTACCATAGTCTGATAATAGCACTGAAAGGAATGTAGTGGAGCACTTATAGGCGATTCTAAAGTCCGCGAGGAGAAAAAGTTGTTGTAAATAAGCAGCAGCTCATGAAGAAATTATAGAGACCTAGGCACGCACTGAAATCATGACTGAACAACACAAAAACTCATTCACTACATGCCTTTGCATGTTAAGTCCTTGAAAATTGCCAAAACATCCTTTACAAAAACTAGCTATGATGAATTTCTAATCGTCATAGGTTTTTCTTGGAAAATATAATCAGTTTACAGTTAAATCATTTGATTTTTAAGAGAAATGTGGAGAAATATGAAAAGATTTTGCTGAATTCTATAAAGTTATAATAATTTGGCTAACACTGTAATTTATGCAGTGTGTGTACTCTTAGGAGTTCTCCATAAGTATAAGTAGAGACGTCCGTAGCGGCCTCCACGATATGTCCAACTTCCCCCATGTTTTAAATTGTAGCTTTTGCATCCTCTTTTTAGGATTACTCACTTCTATAATTCTGTGGACTTGATGCTCATCTACTGTTTTCCACATTACACAGCATAGCAAACATAGGGACCTAACTACTGCGTACAAGGCAGAGGAGTGATAGGTAATGAGTGAGTTAACTCCCGTCTCGCTGAATCACCGAATGTTTGTTCAGATGACAAATAAAATGTCTCAAATTTCGGCACTTCACCTGGTCAGGAACAGGTAGCGGTATGCGTGAGAGCATTATGGTAGGATCGGAATCAATCACTGCACTGCAGACGGACCGACAAATTTAAACGGACATGCGTCGTCTGCGGGTCATCAACCTGGATCGAGGACCTTGTTGAAGCAGGTGAACAAAGGGTAAGGAGTTCTGAACTGTCGCAGTGTAGAATTGCGCTGCCGCTGTGAAGGTCATACTTATCTCATGTTTGAGCCAACCATGTCAATAAATACTGGTATCTACCCGTTACCTGAAAATAGATTGTATACTGATGTAGAAGTTGGATTTAACTCGACAGCTATTTTTCAATTAGGTCTGACCGACCTAGAAAACCACAGTTTCGGGGTGGAGGCTTCGTCACTTACGTTGACCAATGTTGGTGCACATCAGGAACCTAATTATTCACATACTCAGTGACTTCTATAAGCTAATATTTGAAGTCAAAGTCCCTATGTGGAATTCATTAGGTCATCACAGTAGGCTTTTACAGAGGTTCCAACCAATCTGCATTCCAGTTAAATCATTTGAAATTCATATTATTTCAATGTTGCTGCGAAAACCATAGCTTTTTCATTGCATTTATGCTGCCAAATTTAGTGGCACTCGACAAGACATGGCGCAAAGATTGGCGCTGGTCACACAAAAATGTAATTGTTTTCCAGGTAGAAACAAGCACCCATGAGTAGGTCAAATCGTTGAAACTGTAATGATGCATTTTAATAAAAGGTAGAGCCAATTAGAGGGTCAAGTGTGGACTACACGTTGTGTGATTGGGTTGCGACACGCAACCTCAATGTAATGGACTGTGATTCACATTGAAATGAATCTTAGCGACTGCGATCACGGGGACCGGATCACCGGGGGACCTTAAGTGGTAAACAGCTGAGTGCTTCATATCAATGGAATTTACTTTGTGATAAAGCGGACTTCAAGCCAGTCCGACTAATATATTGCGCATCACTATACATCCGATCTCGAATAATTATGGAGAGCCCCGGCTAATGCGAGTAACATTGGGATCAACAGGTGTTGTCGAGACGATGCTATTGTTG